GTTTCTAGTGAGGTCAAGTGCTTCTGAAGTTTCGTAACAGTGCCAGTTCTAGGCACTTCCAAGTCACGTTGGCTGTCGTTAGCTGCCATAGACAATAGGCAAATCCAATGCTACTTCTCCCTCTTCCGTATGTATCCCATGTATCTCCGGCGTTATAACCGTTCTTCCAACGAGCTGCAGTGGGTGTCTGCCCACGCTGACGAAGTCATCCAAACTCACATCTAGGGCGGAAGTCATGTCCGCTGCTGGACTAATGGCATTAGCTTCAACCCCTGCTTCCCACCATTTCTTTACTGTCGGTAGGTCAGATGTGAATCCACGTCCAACAGCCCCGCTCCGATTATGTTGGGTGGTGAAAACAAGGCACATCGTATGGGCTCCGTCTGTCGAAATCCTTTGTAGAATTGCTCGTCGGGGTGGCCTCGTATTTCTAGGCTCTTCAGGCTTATCTCCTGAGTTAACAAAAAGGAGCCGGCGTAGGGAACGCTCACGATCAGGCCGCCTCGGCCAAGGTTGGGAGCATTGGCTAGCTCCTGAAGCCGACTGCCCCGTGATTTGCCACTCTTTCCTATCTCAACAATGAGAAAGAGCGGAGCGGCAGATGTTCATGACGATCAGGAATGCTCCATGATCCCTGTCTAGCTTGTGCACTTCATGTTTATCCTGGCTCGTCGGCAGTGGTTGTTGGAGGGACACGTTTCCCCAGACGGACCCAAAAGCACTTTTTTGCTAAAGTGAGGTGTGAGACCATGAAGTAGGCCATGGCGTTTTGGTTTTTTTAGATAGCCATGTCAATATTAGAAGCCGCACAGACTTCCCAGTCTAAGCTGCCGGGATATATCATTCCGCACTCGTCTTCGGACAGCAGCCCGGAGGTAACCCATCGATGCTGGCACCGATTATATCACATACAGAATCAATATGATTCATATAAGGTTCACATTTTTTTGAGCTCCGAATATCAGCGTAAACGGGGAGTGCTTCTGTACCCAGGGTTTTTAACGCATCCATTAAAGACGTGGAAGATTGATCGCCGGATATGCACGCTGACAGCCTCCGTAGATGCCGAAGAAGTTGATGGCGCTGGTTTTGTTTGTGCTGCTGTCTCTGTCGGGCTGGCCTTGACGGGAGTGCGTTGCTGTGTGGACAGGGGGTTGTAGTTAATTCCTCTTGCCAGAGGTGAAGAGCAAGGTCTTGGTCTGACAGTCGCCCTGCGGGCTGCTTATCCTTGGTTTGGTTCATAGTGGCCGCGATATCCTCATGTAGGATGTCGAGAATTACCGCGGAACTAGCCGCATCCATGCTTGGGTAATGGTAGAAGTACTAAGGTGCATAAGAGATTTGGAGATGGAAAAAAAATGAATAGAAACGAGGTGTCTGGGATGGATGAAGAAGGGGAAGGTAGAGAGCAAGGTCTTGGTCTGACAATCAGCCAGCCGCCTGTTTCCCTTTGCTTCGGTTCATGGTGTCCGTGATATCACGGCCATTTCCAATGCTCAGACAGCCCATCAATGCAAAAGACACCAGACCCATGGAACGCTGCCTGTGTGTTTCTGGATCGAGGCGCCAGCGTTATCATTGACAACGCCCTGCTCAACCAGGGGCTTGACTCCCTTCTCTCCCATCGTCGCCCTGCTGTGATGTACTTGATGCTGAGCGCATCAAGAAACATTTGGGCGAGCCACATGACTATAGGCCAGTGGACAAAGACGAGGATCACATTTTATTGGAGCAAATTTGGATCATGCGCCCTGAAGACGATGTCAATGATTGGACTCGATATTTTCGACCTTATAATTCTTCTTTCGCTGCGGGGGCGGTCGTCTGACCTTCAGGTCCTTTTCCGATCTGAGCCTTCGGCATTTGTGTTCTATGTTCATTTTGATATAATGAAACATGCCTCAAGACCAATCAGATGGTTTCGACGTGGCCGCCAAAAACTCATCTGCATATAGCTTTAAGCGAAGATAGCATGGGACTTTTCATCGATTGCTCCTTTAACTCGCGGAAGGCGCTCAGCACCTCCAACGACCTTTTGATCATAGGCAAGGTCATCTACAGTCCGCCTGGTCAAACTGGAAGCCCTGCACATCTGTGCATAGCAGCTGTACAGTTACGGCTGCGGTCGAAAATGCCCGTGTAGCATTTCATTATCGCGGACAGATCAATATGCCCGCTGTCTGGTCCAAATCAATATTAGCATATAAACGGGAAAAAAAAGAAGGTATCAAGACGTACCGGCTCACAGAGCACGTGGGCTGGGTTCGCCCTGGGCTGTTCAATGTAGGCTGGTGTGACAGGCCTTGGAGCATTCGGCGGAACGAGTTGCCACCTTTCGAGTCTCACGTAGATTGTTTTTAAAACAATCCGGAGGACGATGGAGCATCACGAGTGAGCCATATGATTTGTGGCCTTGATTATGGCCCCAAGGTGAAGCCACTCGCAGTAAAAGTGTCAATGAACAATTGTCAATGAACAATCTCACTCTTGAGCCGTGGGGTCTTGGCTGTCGGCACACCCTTCACTTTGTCACTTGCAGGCCTCCCCGCCGGCCTTAATCATGTCGTCAAGCGACTACGCGTACAGAAAGCCGACGTACTGCTATCGATTTAGTCCACAGCAAAGGGACGTCGATCTTAAAGATCCCAGTTTTTGCAGTGGTGCAAAGGCACGGCACCCACCAATATTTGAAAGTGCGGCGACAGTCCAGCAATGACGGGTCCCTAAGAGAACCTTAGCCACGATACCAAGAAGATTGAGAGAGCTGTACTCTTCTTCCATCATTGAGCATGTCTCCAGGCGATCCCGAACATCCTTGAATGCCGCATCGGCTTCCTTGAATTGTTGATGTATGAACACTTGACTAGATGTTTTTATCTCGCCTGTGAAGGAGGCTGTGCCCTGGCTCTAATCATGAGGATAGCCTTTCAGGGCTGGACTAAGTATCTAGAAGCAAGTCCACCATCGAGGCTGACTCCTAGATGGTTGATGCCACCCCGGCGGGCGGCGGAGCATACAATTGAGCCCTAGGAGTGTCCGCAGGAGGCGAGGGTGGTCTTTCCTGCAAGACGTTAGCTGCGAAGATTTCGCGGAAAGGACAAGGGGGTGAACTTACCACCGAGGTGGCCGCGGACGAAATGTTTCTCGTGATGATGCCAAAGTGGCCGTGGTTTGAGAGGCAGTTGGCCCAGGTGCAGAGGCAACTCGGCGTACAGCATGGGACACACAGTGTGTAAGAAGGAGAAATGAATGGAGTCTGGAACTCCATTTTAGAACTGGATTTTAGACCCGGTCTTGCGGCAGCGATATTCATCAACTGAACATCAAGTCCGATGCTGGACACCGCGCAAGGCCAGCAGTGGATTATCCACCGGAGTCAGAGGCAGCTTAGAGGAGTGGATCAAATCAACAAGGTTGAAGTCTCAGGAAGATAATTGATCAGCAGAAGTAGTCTGAATGACTTCGTCTCAAGATAGGTGGTGATGGGAAGAATGAGAAGGAAGAGGGAGATATAAGAGAAGGGGTACATAATGCCCATTCACTAGTGGGTAGTAATTATTCACTATCCATCAGCATATCTTCCCAGAAGTGAATGATAGGGACATATTCAACATCTTCGTATGCACATAATTGAGCTACATGCAAGGGACGGGTTTCTGCTGTCCTGGGCTCGGAAAAGCTACCGGCATCCACAGTACAGGGAGCATATAACCGCATAGTGAGACATCAACGGTGCGCCGCGCTGGACAATCTTAGACTATTCTTCCACGTCGATATCTGATCCATTTACGGCGCGTACTTTCAGTAGATAGTGGCGATAATCTGTATAGGTTGAAGAGGATATCATAGTGAATACACCTAGCTCCAGAGAAAGCACCTATGCGTGGACCATTAGGAGAATAGGGTTCAGACATATCCAGGAAACCAGCATAGGAATTTATGACAGGATCGTCCGGCCTTTTATAGAGAAGGGCGGGCATTGATTCCAAAACAGCTCTAAGGGGTCACAGTGCTTTATTCTATGAATGTGACCATTTCCTCTTTAGCAAACTGGCCCATTAAGCTCACCGATAGTAGTTTTCTTTCTGGCTGCGTTTCCGCTTCTTTCATGTTCTCTGAGACATCAAGACAAACAAACTAACAAATCACCCAGCTTATCCAACACAACCGCCTGCACATCGGCAGCTGCATCGGTCTTGTCGCTCAGAGCTACATACATTCCCATGAACATTACTGGACGATACTGTTTAGTTATCCTTGGAATACAGTCAAGCATACTCTTGAATACTCCGCCTTGACAACGCGCATGGCGATCTTTGTATTATACGAAATTCGTCTTCTGTTAAACGCGTTCATTCAAAGAGGTTGCTCGTACTCTTCTTACTCGGTTCTTGCCATTCTCAGTATCCACGGACATCTCTCCTTCAGCTCCAAGGAAATGACACCCAAAGCTCATGAAACCGAATAGTACCTTCAGCTGTAGCAGATTTCAGGCTGCACGGGGATCTTTGTCAAATGCAGGCTGCGTTGCTACAATGCAGCATAGCCMTCGTCCTGGGCAGAAGGCGAACCGGAATATATCGCTGGGATGTGTCCTGTTCCGCTGTGCTAAACTCTCCAGAACTTGCAAGTCGTTCTGTTATTGCATGCTTTTTGACTATGAAAATCCTGGCCAAGCACACAGCTATTAATAACTGAGACAATCCATACCTAGTCCGAAAAGGACGGAAATCAGACACACAAAGACTATCTCGGGAGGCGCATACAATCCACAAGGTCACGCATTCGGATGAGAGTTTGATAGAAGCAAAGGTATCACACTGCTGGAGAGAATCAAGCCCACGGAACGCAATAATAGCACGAGCATCTTATTGACATGAAAGGACGACTGGGAGCAAGATGCGAAGTGATTCTGGTGTAGCAAGGATCGCTGTTTTCCGCCCTGCAATATCGAGCTCGTTCAGTCCAATCGTTAGGGATTGCAACGCAGGCATGGGTAATTAGATGAGTTCCTCATCTGAGTCTTCATGCCACTCATCGTCTTCGAGGTCATTCGGTTTCACAGTACCACTTAACGCAAGCACACGATTCAGGACCCACTGCATTTCAAGGATCCGTGTATCTGGGAGAGGATAATTCTCCGGATCATGTGTCTCAAGGGTGATCGTCTCACCAGAGAGGAGTGGACGATCATTGCGGATATCATGCAGAGCAGCACCGTAGTCTGATGGGTGGATATCTGATGGAAGTTGCGGGATAATACTAAAGTAGACACAGTCACCTTCATGTTGCTGGAGCCACCAAAGCTTAAGTGTGAGCCACTTGCCCTCTGCATCTCTGTTGACAGGTTCAAGGACAATGTACCCCTTGGCGTATAGCGCATATGCATTTGGACTGAGGAGTATGAGATTCTCAGGCTTTTCAGGTCCAAAGCCGTCTCCATAAATGGCATTATACCATTCGTGTACCTTTTTGTCACTCCAAAACTCTCTCAGAGCAGCGAAAAAATGTTGCACGTCATCCATATTCTCATCATTCATCCAATAGGGATATAAAGGGTACGGCTGGCAGATGTCCTTGCTGCAATTTGTCAGAATGCAGGCTTTATCACGGTCGCAGCACTGTGATATAATGTGGTTAGTGGTAGGTCCGTTGCAATAGGGTCTGAATGGAAGGCATAGCTTACTGCAACTTCTGCAGACTGTCTTTTGGGCCTCTTCCCATTGGGCGAGTCCATGTATTCCCATGATCCTTTGCGCGAGTCAACAGCTTCCTCCTGTCGATCCTTTTGTTGCCCTGAATAGAACACGCTGTTAGCCGTACGTAACGATAGAGACTGGATGAAGGCTGACAATTTTGACCTATTTTGCCCTCGGCCCCAACGCGGCAGAACTTGTCATAGATCTCAATAGGCCAATGCGGCCCATCTGGGAGATGTCGATCAATTAAATATTGTAGCTTCTCCATATCGGCAAGCCACAAGCACGCGTAAAAGGTTTTGAAGCTTTTTATCGCATCGGCTTTGAAGAACGGCAACGTGGTTACTGCGTCGGTAATCTTGTGGACCAGCTTGATGCGCTCGGTCTCCTCGAACGGAGCACCTGGACCGCTTGAACTGGCCATAGCTGATGGTATCCAAGTAATCAGAAGTAAGCAATCCAATGCGAGTAAAGCTTTGTTCGACGTTAATTGTTTGTTGGTGCTAATCAAGCTGTAACTGGTGATGTTAAGAAAGAGGAGATTTTCATGGTGACATGATGTAAAGCACGCAGAGGGTGGGGATGTGACTTGAGCACGAAAGATAGATGTCACTCTGGGAAGCATAGTGGTAAGATGAAGAAGTTGTGGAGTTGATCAGATGAGATGCAGAAACAAGGGCCCATCCGTGCAACCAATTAAGTGAATGCCTGAGTTGCAAGAATTCTGCGGTTCCGGATAGTTAACCGCTTTTGGGGCGGAGGCCCAGTTACCTAAGTACCTATCCCTGGTAGTGCTGGCGGATACCATTATTAGGTCCCATTCACCTCTAATAAGAATGTCTATACTGTAGAGCGTCATGTTGTAAGAACATCATAGAACGGCAAGCAAATAGAACTCTCGCCATGTAGTTATACCAGTTGAACTATTTCTGGACTGACAGGTAACCCGTCAAATATTTTTCCTGCAGGCCTACGGAACCTCGATATACCGGCCTGATGTTATGGACAAGAGAGGAATTGAGTGGCCTTTGCCGCATTGCTTAGCTGAGTTGTGCTGCTTACTTCGAAGCCATCGTACATTAGAGAATCTATTCTAAACTCGGAAGCCAGTAGCTAGTGATGTTGGGTTGTAAGCTGATTTTACTGTACTTCATTTTCTATTTGGTTGTAGATGGGAAAGCGCCAATTCAATTGCAAGAATGCTATATACAGAGCAATGGCTATATACAAGGAAAGCTCATCTTAGCTTCGCCCGCACATAGAATACAGGTTACTGGACTCCAGCACCACGGTGAGGTGTGAGCTTATCGCTGGAGGCCTGGAGGCCATCGAAGATGACCACCAGGCACCTACTTACTCAGTAGGATTTCAGGCATTGTGTCGTGGGAACATCTTCAGCACCAGCCGCACGAGGACACTTGTTCAGTGTTGACAGCGAGTCGCCACATAACTTGTGGGCATAAATGAGGGCACTATCCAGTGCGGCCACCAGGATGAGGACACTTCTTCAGTGCCGTCAGGACAACGAGGGCACTTATCCAGCGCCGAAGGAACGCACGGGCCTCACTGGTGATCGGCTTCACGAGTAGTGTCCTTCTCTTCGCCCTGAGGCGCATCGACTCGTTGCTCCCGCTCATCCTCCTGGGCTTGTATTTGGAGCTGCTGAAGCTGCTCCTGCATTTGCTGCAGGCGCTGCTGCCTCCGTCGCTCTTCGCGACGCTCCCGGCTGTTTGGGCCCTCCATCCGAGGACGATTCTGCCGGACACGAGGACGGGGAGGAGAAGGGGGAGGAGGTCCCTGGTTCTGGGAAGCCGCAATCTGTAAGGAACGGTCATAGTCAGCGGCATTCTAACATGATGAGCGGCAATATTGTCCTCACCAGGGCGGCCAAGACGCGCGTACCAACGCGACATGTCGCCGCTTCGTGACCCCAGCGTCGACAGAACACACACCACTGGCCCTTCTGTAGATTACGCTGTCAGCTCAAATCTAATGTAGATAAATCTTTGCTCCAGCTACCTTCTTTGCCTTCTTCACCTTGCCCTCTCCGGGGCTGCGCCGGTCGCCATTGTTCCGGTCAGGATTTCTCCCACCGGAGCCAGAGGCAGCAGCTGGCGCCTGGCGAGATTTAGACACACCGGAGTGGGCAGCGGAAGCCATCCGAGTAGCCATTTCTTCCTGATCAGATTAGAAAATAGCGAAGGCGATTGTGGTGATGAAACGAGGGGCGGGAGGGAAGAAGAGGAAGAGCAAAAAGAATTTCCAGTATTTGTGCAAGAGGAGTGATCAGTTTGGCCTCCTAGTGTTGTTTAATGGTCATTCACTTTCGTCTATTTATATTCGACAACTGCAATGGAGGTGGTCATCACTCAACATATGGCAAGCACGTAGTGTCCATAGTGTGCATACTTACCACTTAAATTATATTCGTCCAGGTTGTTTAGAGGAGTATTGATAATAAACAGTAGTCAATACCTTATCACTGGCACACATCTTTGATAGAATGTAGTACATATCATTTGAAGCTGTTCCTCAGACGAGAAGTCCCCTTAGAGTTATGGGGAGCTTGCAAGGCTACTGACTAAGGGCTCATAAGAAGTGCTGTAACCGAGTCACGAAGCCAGCACCTTTGCAAGGTCTAACTGTTGGCGCCCGTCATTAGGCATTTGGGTCTAATGAACATCGCAGCGACGGAGTTACAGACGCATAGGAGAAGTCCTTCCTCTACTTGTAGACTGCGTACCTTCCCTGATTATATTGACTTGGAGTACCTTCCGTTGCGGGGTCTGCCAGAGATGTGAGCTGCGAAGGTGTAGGTTCTTCCTGAATTTTGGTACTAGTGTAAGACTGGCTCCTTGTAGAGAAGTGCTGAAGGAATAAGCGGCATTTTGAAATGAACATACTCGGCCGGCCAACAGAGTGTGTCCCCATCTAAGCGTAGGGTTGCGGAGATCCCTGGCCCTGTCATAGACATGGCTAGTCACGGTCAGTCTCAGTCTGCATCTTCTTTCCGTGCTCGCGCAGCTGCTCGAAAGTCTCAACCCCCGGTCTTGTGTAACTGCCCTGTCCTTAATATAGGTGAAGGCCCAGTTTGCCAAGTATGAAAAACGATGAGACAACTTGAATTGAATGGGATCGATAAGACCAAGCAGATTCAGGGATGAAAAATGGTGAGACCGGAAGTATCGGGGCTCAGGTTGCTGTGAGCGGGATCCTCGCCTTAATCTATGAGATAGTGAGTTTGATTAATTAATACTGGCGCCATTTTGTACCACAGATATCGCAAACATCCGCAGATTATATAGTTAGAGTGAACGGGTACCTTGTCAGGGTGAGGAAAGTCTTCATAAGCAGCCTATTGGTAGCTTTTCCAGAACTGCTCCGCTATCATCATCGCTGCCAGAAGCGTTTCTATGCCGCTGTCCGATTTCAGAAGAAACATCACCTTGTAATCATGCATCAAAAGGGAGGCGCCAGAACTTGGAACATTTCATGTTCCATCTTTTCCAGTTCGAGAGAGACAAGTCTTCCCACCAGTCAAATTCTAGCCAAAGAAGTACCCATACTACGTGTGACTTTGTCTATGACTGTTTTGGCTCTGTAGCAATTTCCCTGACCTAAAATGACGGCCATTTAGGCTCCGCATTGACGCCATGGCTTTCAAAGATCTATCGCCAGGTTTCATTCCATAGATTCAGCTTGAAGCACAAACTATCGAACCTTCAGAACTCCATGTTAGTCGTTGGCGGAGGAATCTTCTCTGAATCGGTAACCAGTTTGATGCTAGCTTAGCACGCTCAATAACCAACTTCAAGGCAAGCATTTGCCGCCAAATGCCATGGAACTAATCAAGAACAAATTCATTGCATCCTATCTTAGATCAATCCAACTCGTGGCTAAAGTCACGTCGTCCCCTGTCGTCTTATCTCCATATCTCTAACCCCCCACATACGACGATCCTTGATATGTAAAGTGAGTCCATGACAGGCAGAAACAACATCACATGTAGCAGAGCTCAGAGCCAACCATTTACTAACTTGCTGAAATGTCCTCCTCAGACGTTAAAAAGAATCAGGCTTGGTTCATAACCAGTTACTCCCCCGGTTCCTGCCTCCCTCTGCCCGCTTCGCACTAATAGGAAGCCATACTGCCGTCACCATCATGCGCAACCTGTCTCACACCCTCGAACTCGTGAACAAGGTTACAAGGATCCGGCTAGGCGTCAACAATCCCAACAACGTATCTTGCACTAATGCTACCGAGCAGTCCGGCGCGCACATCGACGTCCCCGGCCACGGGAACTCTACCTTGGAGCTGTTGAGACCTCCTTCGGGGAGGAAGCATACGCCTAGATAGGAACAATGTACTTGGGCCCTATGAGTCATCCGCTCTGCACTGCTATATAAGCGTCGTAGACGAGTTACGGTCGTCGGCAAAATGAGCATTGGTCTCGCTGAACGGAAATTAGACGATGGGTACCTATGCGGGAGCATTGCAGAACTTGATGGTTGGTCCTCTACGTGACTTGAAGTATCTACGCTAATTGGTCTACGTTTGCGAATGGTACTTGAAGGCGTCGAAGCGTGCAATATCCGGAACACAAGTATGGCTGATGGGGCGCTGTTGGAAACCAGGTCTCTTCCGGATGATGAAAAGGAGGCTATCGTCGAAAGTATCCTCGGCGTCATAGAAAAATGTGAGCTTCTTCCGAATAGTAACGAGAACATGGCAATGAAGGCGAAAGTGGCCGTCAAGACAGGAGGTCGAGGTTGACCCTGAGAGCCAGCTACTCTAGCTACTTTGAAGTTATATAAATCAATGCTTTGTGGTCACCGGATCATGATATAGTATTGTCCTTTAACGTTCGAACAAGTCTACTTAAGGCACAATATAGCTCTATGTGGGTACATGAAAGCGTTCTGTTGTGGGAGGCATGATCTCACCATTCCATTTTGGGAAGACGTGGTGATGGTGAATGACCACTGAGCAACACTAGCAGTTGTAAAAGAAAATTTTTTTCTTCCTCTTCCCTTCTCTCTCCTTTCTTCTTCTTTCCTTTCCTTCCTCATCACCAATATTCATAACGATAGTACGCTGAAAAGCTTTTAATCGATATGTCTACGGTGGTCAGATCCGGTCTTGCTGCCTCCATGCATGCCCCCACCATTGCCTCTGGCTCTGGTGGGAGACGCCCCAATCGCGGGAATGGTGGTCGGCGTCCACCTGGTCGGGACCCGGGCAAGGTGACGAAGAAGAAGAAGAAGAAGGTATGTCCATGGAGCGGCATCTTCCGTAGAATATACTCACTCTCGGCCTTTGATAATAGGAGTGCGAGGCTTGCGGAGGGGAACACTACGTGCAGCAGTGCCGTCTTTTCCCCGTTATCATCGGTGGTGTTGCTCTCGCAGTGGTGCGTTTAATTCTCCCAAGCATTACAAACAGTTCAATCTGATGGATTTGAATTAGACAAGGGCCATTGCTACTCAAAGTAGCCGCAGCCGTCGCCACCCCCAGGGCCCGCCGCAGCAGCACCCTCGTATGAACTCGAGGCAACGTCGCACAGCACGTCGGCTGGCAGAGCGGCAGCAGCAGCGGCAGCAACAGCAGCAGCAACAGCAGCAGCAAGGGCAGCAGGCGCAGGAGCAGCTGGAACGCCAGGAGCAGGCCCCTCAGGAGCAGCTCCCCCAGCAGCAGTCTCCCCAAGCGCAGCGGCCCCAGCCCTCGGCAGCGATGCCAATACAGCCGGCTCCTCAGGAACCTCCCGAGGGAATGTCATGGGCTGATCAAATGGACTTCGAGGCTGAAAAGAATGCTCAGTGAGAGATTCTTTCATATGACGGCACTGCAATATGTGATCGTCACCTCTGATGGCACTGCAATGTGTCCTGGTTACTTCGATGACGCTGCAATATGTGATCATCACCTTTGATGGCACTGCAATGTGTCGTGATTACCTTCGATGGCACTGCAATGTGTCCTACGCTGCAATATGTGATCGTCACCTTTGATGGCGCTGCAATGTGTCATCCACACTTATTTTTGGACAAAAATCCTGCGCAAGTAGGTGCCTGGTCGTCATCTCTGATGGCCTCCAGGCCTCCAGCGATAAGCTCACACCTCACCGTGGTGCTGGAGTCTAGTAACCAGTATATGACTATAGACTGGCGAAGCTAAGATGAGCTTACTCTCATATGTAATTAACGTCTTTAATTCGTGCCTGAAAACAGATTTCTTACTCTCATGGTGTAGTCTTAGAGTTCAAACCTCTCATCTGTAAAGCTTGTTCGGAGTGTTTACATTTCTTGGTGCATCTGGAGTATGTTGTAGAGTGCACCTGTATTTTGTTTGGTCAATTAATGCTATTTCTCGTCTCGTTTTGGCAATCTAAGCACCCCGTTGGTATCTTTGATTTGCTCCTACTGCTTCCACCTCTTCTTTCTTTTTTTTATGTTGGTCCGACCACTGGTTTTAATGATGAGAAAACCCTCACTTTCAAGCAGCGTTGTCGCCTTGTAATCATCTCGGGTTCGTAAACAGGCACACCGCCAAAATGTCATAAATTCCTTGGGCTCGCTCCAGTCATATGAACAATAATTTGAAGATGCCTGCATGTATCTGGCATATACGTTCTTCTTTAATGTACCTTAGTCTATGTGGTTTCTTTCAGACCCGGGCGGAAGATCTCCGCTATTGGCCAAGAGACGGTTGAAGAACAGACAGAAAATGAAAAGGGAAAAATGTATGCCTCGGCTGATCATACTCTATAACTTTTCCATTAGGTGTCTGCCCAGAATGCACAGATTCCTGATTCTCAAAGACTCACAAGGCTTACAGGCCACGACAGGCTTGGTAATTAAGAAATTGACTGTGATATTTGTATCAACGTTAATATGCGATCGTTTCTACTAGGAGGTCTAGCTGAATGTACTGTGGAGGGCTTCTACCAATAATTTTCAGTTCGTTCTAGACGCCTCTCTACTTCGTAGTTCGTACCTTAATTTTGAGTTCTGGAACCATTGGTACTACGGTAGTCTGCTCCATGGCTCCAGCCGTTTCCGGCGAGTCTAACTACTTCTGGTGCGGAGGGGGCCAGCGTAAATGTTTGAAAATGTGGTCATGTGACTGGACTGAGTGGGAGTCGATTTTACATCATGTCACCACGGAAATGTTTCTACTTCTCTGAGCATCCTCAGGATCAAGATCAATCGAAGCAGAATCAAAAGCTCAATCTCATTGAATCTTTTATTATCGATTGCTCCGATATCATCAGTATCATCACTATGGCCAGCCCAAGCCACCCAGGTGCTCCTTCCGAGGGTCTTGCCCTCGTGCCTCCTGATGCTCTTTTCGAGGATCCTGAGCGTGTCAAGCTGATCAATATGATCGCCGAAAAGCTCGGGCAGACAGAACACACCAAGGTGATAAGTACTTACAAAACTACTTATTCGGCCTTGTGGCTCGCCGATATTGAGAAACTGAAAGGCTTGGTTGGCTATGAGCCTCTTCTACTTTTTTCCCTGCTACAGACCTTTGAGATAAGACACAAAATAGCTGAAAGATGTCAGCAATCATCCAGTCTCTATCATTATGTGCGGCTAACAGTGTGTTCTATTCAGGGTCACAAAAGGACAAGGATGCTGAATCAAGAGCTCCGTCTGCTCCGCAGACACCAATCAAGGCTACACCACCCCGGTTCCCGTCCTCCTCTGCCCCTGGTCCAAGCCCGGGCGATTCGACATCTGAGCCTCCCACTTCAACTCCACAACGCCAACCCCTGTCGCTCGAAACATCAGGAAGTCCTGCTACGCTGAAAAGACCAGGGGAATCTCTGGGCACGCCTGAAGGGGCGAAGAAGCCTAGATTAGGCGAAGACGTTGTGGCAGCGGTAAGCTATGCCTTCCCGCCAGAATCTATTACAACTGCCTTAGCACTAACCACGTGGTATCCTAGGATGAGTCCCGCGACGAATTAGTACTTGTCGCGAAAGCAGTAAGCTATGCCTTTCTGTCAAAATCTATTGTAACTGCCGTAGCACTAACCACGTGGGATCCTAGTATAAGTCCCGTGACCAATCAGTCGCGGATGCAGTAAGCGATGCCTTCCCACCAAAATCAATTGTAACTGCCTTAGCACTAACCATGTGGTACCTTAGTGTAAGCTCCGCGACAAAGCTTGCATTCTTACAAAATGCACCAGGGAGATCTCCGAGTCATGCCATTTGTTCCCATTTTCTATGAATGATTGGCGTATGCACCGCAAGAAAATGTTTTTTGAGGGGCTGAGAATGTTTTGGTGTAAGGAAAAGGTGAACGAGTGGTGTAAAGCCGTCTATGGAGATGTCGCCGGGACTGAAAAGCTCCAAAATCAAATATTGCTTAGCCCAAACGCGCATAAGCTGCACACAGCGGGATGGTTTGTCTTTGAGCCTATTGACGAGGATAAGGTTCATGGTAAGTGGCTCAAACTTAGGTTCTGGTGGCTGAAAAGACACGACCATCAAGGAGGGGTTAAGTTTGATGTTGCCCCACAACTTCCCCCAGATCTGTGCCCGAAAGAATATGGAGTTGCTCTTCATAGGGTCGACAACGATCATCCGCTTGTCTCTGGTGAAGAGTTCACGCTTGAGACGCATGATCCAAAGACTCATCCTCTCCCAGATACTCGGCTTCTTGAACTGCAGTGGATCATGAATCGTGTGCTTGCCTTAAGGGGTGGCGCAGAACCGGAGGACCTGGAGGATGAGTCGGATGGAGACTCGGATGAGGGACTTGACTATTTCGCCAGGCCGGTGTTGCAATCCCCGAGTCTTCCTGGCCAATCATCTCCTCCGTCCTCTCTCACCAATATCGCGAGCGACGAGCCCAAGGCTAACCCTGTCGTCGCGACGACTGATACGCTTCGACATGAACAAGTCGAGGAATGAGCCCTGTCTCTGCTGCTGCGRGCGCTGARAAAATACGCTCCTCTGGCGGATGAGCCCTGCCTCTACTGCCCGCGCTGAAAAAATACGCTCCTCTGGCGGATGAGCCCTGCCTCTACTGCCMGCGCTGAAAAAACGCGCCCCAGCCCTCGCGGCTGAAATCCTACCTTCTCAGTAGGTGCCTGGTTGTCTCAGAAGAGTCTGAACTCCAGGCCTCCAGCGACAAGCTCACACCTCATCGTGGTGCTGGAGTCCAGTAACCTGTCCGTCAATAGACGATAGGTGAAGCTAAGATGAGCTTCTTTATGTATGTAATTATCACCACTACAGCCCTGTTTCATACCTATCTCTTGTCCTACCACCTTCTCTGACGAGCGGAAGATTAGCACTAAGGTTTGAATAAACATGCCGTAGACTTACCATAGTACCAATAACCTCTTCGAGAGCCGCTGACTCTTAACCCACTGGTGCATTAACTAGAATATGTACTACTTGGCAATGCCAGCCGCAATGCAGTTCTCACCACGGACCCGCTAATCACCCTGAAATCTTGACGTAAGTGAGAACATTACCCTCGGGTAATACCCAAGACCCTCAGTGCACGGAGTGAGCAGAGACTACAGGTAGTCGATCTTGATTTCGCCCAAGTATCCCACTCTCCATCCTCCTTCTCTGCTATCCCGTCTGGTTCATCTTTATTGAATCTGGATTCTGATCAATGTCCAAGTATCGGACCGCAAATTAAGGGATTCCCATAGTTGAGTTGCCTAGTTGAATATTGAAGCACTCATCGATGAAAGGGGGATATGGTCCAGCTGTCCAATGACTTGATGTCTTGGATCGCACCATGACTACAATACGAAGTCGAGTTCGACTTTGTTATGGTAGGCAACGCTACATTGTGCAGATAATCTGAAACACAAACCAGCTATAACGGGCGGCAGGAGCTGGTCCGCCCAGCTGACGGAAACGCTTGTAAGTCATCAAATCATTGTCATGGCGGACTGATGACCGGATCGCTGACTTTGTTATATCCTCAGGAACTATCCGCTGAACCGAGGCAGTTACCGAGACTATAACGGAGGCAGGATCGCTCCTTACCACTCAACAAATTCGCGCTTACATTTACCGATTATTGAGATTATGGCTGGGTAGACAAAGATGGCAAATACGGACATGGGTATTCCGGATAGGGGCTCTTGTTGTGGATGTAGTCGAAGCCGTCGCCATATGATGACGATATCGACTCTACAAAGGAGAGATAGACCGGCTCACTAAAGGCCCATGCTGATCCAGAGGAGTCCTTCAATCTACCCAGGCCTAGGCTCGATGCTCAAGCAGATGACACTCAAAATATTCCTAATTTCGGTACTTCGCGAAAACCGCTCCTTTATTAGGCTGACGTACAGACAAGCGATACCGCGGCTCACATAGGCTCAGTTAAAAGACCTTCTGGACCTGACAATCGGTGGGGTTAGGGAGTTGCGATGGAGCATCTGGCCAAAGTGCTCACAAAGTTAATTGATTCGCGGATTCCTAATCGCGGTTCAATTTTTGTTTTTGGGGTAAGACTACCTAGATCACGGAGTCTCCTCATCTAAAATAGAGTCATAGACCCATCCGAGGTCGAAGAATCAGTTATGACAGCTACAAGAAAACCTTGACAATAAGAATTCAACAGTTGATGCAATCGCAAAGCTTGCTCTTCTGGGCAAAATGTTTCACTTTCACAGCAAGCCTCGGAAGGATCCCCCGTTCACATGTGGGGTTACATCGACTTGTCAGCCACGCGGCAACATGATTCGTTCGAACCCCTGTCTGCAATATCCGATCTCGCTTTCTTTTTGCGGGGTACAATATAGTCTCATTGTCCTGTTACGGTATTGGGGGAAGAATTCATGGAACCTGCGGAGCTGGGCACAGCCATCTTGCATGATGATGAAGGATTCAACAGGGCAGGACAGGGTATAAATTCCCGTGATCAGCTTGATTTCAACATACGCACGCAGTAGTCTACTCATCATCCTCAACCTGACAAGTGAAGATGCGTTTCCTCTTCTCCCTCTTCGCGGCCACGGCGCTCGCCAGCGCCATTCCAACAGCGACAATCGTCAAACGCGACGCCCCAGCCGTCGTAGACGCGGTCAACGCCATCGCCAGCCAAATGGTCGTCCTCAACAACACCGTCACCTCCTACGCCGGCGGCATCCAAGGCACCCTCACAGCCCTCAAGATCGAAGTCGAATCCGTCAAGCTCTCCTGCGACCTTAGGGACGCGATCTCCACCACGCAGGACGCAGCTAACTTCACAAACGCGGAATCGCTCACCGTCGCGCAAGCGTTCATCAGCCTCGAGCCGCAGATCTTCTCCACGCTGAACAATATCGTCGCGAAGAAGCCAAAGTTCGATACCGGGTTGTTGGGAATCGGATCGTTGGCGTTCCTCGTCAAGTCGAATCTGCAGCAGCAGAAGGATTTGTCGGCGCAGCTTGGGGATGCGGTTGTGGCGAAGCTGGCGCCGTTGTATGCTCAGGTTGCGCCGGTGATAAATAAGCAGATTGCGGATGCGTTTGATAAGGCTATCGCGGCGTACAGTTGAGATCGCTGGTCGGGATCGTCTTGGGAACAGGGGAGTGTGGATAGCGATGTAAATATCTCTTTGTTGTTGCTACTCAATACTGTGGGTTAGCACAGCAATGATGGCATAATAGGAGGACATAGGATTCACCTCTGTGGATAATATCTTTTAATATATCCGTGGAATCCTCACGATTTCAGTTGCGTCCAACTCTTAGCTCCCTCAACACTGGTCGTTGATATGTCTGATTTGCAATTTTTTATAACATCGCATCTGCATCTCACACCAGTCATGTACCCACGGTGTCGGATTCCTCTCGTTTAGGGTGACCTGGTACCGTCCTGTGCCGTCACAATGAAGGTCAGCTAGCACTCAAGCCATGTTGAGGCATAACAGCTTCTGGTCACTCATTCTCCAAGTGAAGGTATCCGAGTTCGATGCATCACCTTACATTATATTCTCTCCAGCAGTGAGATACGAACAGGATTTGGATGGTATCTTCGGGCCTTGTACTATTTCCGGCGAGGAGATCGTAGGTGGAAGGCAACGGACAGGAAAGATAACAATGGACGCTATGGGTCGCGGAGGCTTGCCTGGAAGCTAGGCAAATTTGGACAAAGATTTGATGTTAAGAGTCGCACTAATCTTGCAGCGAAACATGTGACTGGGACTCTTCATTGGGGTGCAGCAACCAGTTCAAGCTTCGCGGCAGTTTTTATCATACAGAAATTATGAGCGATACTAAGTTACTGCTAATGCTCCGTGTTCCTCTTGTCTCATCAGCAGCGCTCATACCCATATTGCGATCGATCCAGCCAGCAAGATTAGATGCGGCCGATTAACCTGTTTCCTACAAAAAACCATCTTATGGGGAGACGAAAAGTATCATTGTAGCAGACTATCGAGTTGATAATACAAAGCCGAAATTATAGAATCATCAAAGCCGAAATCATAGAATCATCAATCGCGCAATTTCATGGTATCAAAGTCATTCCATCACAAAGGATCAAGCATTACAAAATCATTCTCATCCAACACCCGTCGCTTAGTAACCACGCTGAGTTCCTGTGGCGCCCCTGTCGGAATCGACACGAGGGTCGAGCTTGTTCGCGATGTTGGAGCTGTGAGGACCAGCCGTGGTTCCAGCACCAGGACCAGCGCCAGTGCCAGTGTAGCTGCTTCCAGCTGGTGCAGTGCCTGTGCCGTAGCCGCCGCCGGTGGTAGCACCACGGTTGTCCAGGTCACTGTCCACACGAGGGTCTAGCTTGTTGGCGATGTTGGAGTCGTGAGGGCCGGCAGTGCCTCCCATGGCTTCGTGGCGAGCACGGTTGTCTACAACGTGTTAGATCAACCCGTAGAATCGGGAAGAGTGTGCATACCTCTGTCGCTATCAACGCGGGGATCAAGCTTGTTGGCAATGTTGGAGCTGTGGGGACCAGCAGTGGTGCTTGTATTTTCATAAGTGTTCTTAGATCCATAGGTGTTTTTACTGGTTTCGAGGGTGTTTTTGGTACCGTAGGATCCAGAAGTGGCGGGGTTTCCACTGCCGTAAGTGTTGCCGCCGGTAGTGCCAGTAGGGCCTGTACCATAGCCGCCGGTGGTAGCACCACGGTTGTCCAGGTCACTATCAACTCGTGGGTCGAGCTTGTTGGCAACGTTGGAGTCGTGAGGTCCGACGTTGGTGCTGCCGCCGCCGTAAGTGTTGCCGCCAGTCGGGCCTGTAGGGCCTGTGCCATAGCCGCCGCCGGTGGTAGCACCACGGTTGTCTAGGTCACTGTCCACCCGAGGGTCGAGCTTGTTGCCAGTGTCAGATGTATGAGGACCAGCAGTACCTCCCATGGCCTCAGTGCGAGCGCGGTTGTCTAAACAATAAGAAGGTTAGCTCTGATCTTCTTTTTGTCACTATTCCATACTGGTAAACATACCGCGGTCGCTATCGACCCGAGGATCAGCCTTGTTGGCAACGTTGGAGTCATGGGGGCCCGCGTTCGTTGAGGTGGATTCACCATGACGTTCACCATGGCGTTCACCATGGTGGCCACTCAAGGCCTCCTTCACCTTGTGCATCATGTGGGACATCTTGTAGAAGACTTGCAATGTTTTGTATCCAAATCGATAGGTGTACTCTTGTTATGGATTGAGTTTGTTTTGTTATGGATTGTAGATTGGTTCAAACGGACTTAAGACGACTTCTCAATCCTTATATAGAGCCTGTTCCTCACGATCGTGTTTGGGGATTGACGTCAAGCCGGGGACAGTTGTGGTATCCCGGAGGAGTGGCGAGGAGCGATGCCGTCATCTCGCGGTCATCGTGCGGAGAGTCAACCACAACAGGCTGCACATTATCATCAGTGGAACAGTTTCAGCCACATGTCAAGAACGGTAGTGAATTTCGTAAATTTGGTCGTCAGCTTATTGATGTAAGTGGGAGCATGCATCTCATTATTGTTGAATCGGTAGCTCTCTAATGGTAGGGTATCCACCAGGTTGCGGATCAATTGCGTTGCGCAATCCAGCACCCCTGATGATATAATTAGGTAGCCAATTGTACAGTCAATCAGCTTGCACAACCCTCATACAGGTGACTATCTCAGTGAAAGAGCAAGACCGTGGTTCTCGAGTGATTCGTGATTCGATGGATATCATGGTTATGATCTCAGAGCATCCGGTGGGCGTGGCAAGCTCGTGACTATTCCAGTTGGGATCGAGAAAGTTAATTGCAGCTTAAGCTGCTGATCATCCCAATCTGATAATGCCTTCTACCAACCTGTAGCCGTTTGCTGCTCCGTGCATACAAGATAGGGTTGTAGCCTTTGTCAGACAACTATGACTTGGAAATGATGTCGGCGTTGGCCACAATAGGCAGCGATCGGCATTCCCTAGGCACGCCATGCCCAACTCCAAGTAAAGTGAGCATACAAGATGTCATTTCTCTTGGCAGGCAACAATAACATTCTAGATCCTGGTTCAACTACTGCGTTTGGTAGCGGTTGCAGTGACGGAGAAGACGCATAGGATGTCGCGATTTCCCACCTCTAGTTGTTTGCTAATCAATAGCGTCACTTGTCTAGACTAGCATATAGTTTAGTGATTTATATCAATAGTAAGCCTCATCTAGTCCTTAAAGAAATTGACTATGCAATCAGCACCACAATTGTTATGTTTTTCCAATGGTCGACATAATTACTCGCGTCCCCCGAATAAGACGCGTGGAGCTGATCGAAGTTGATATATGGTACTCTAAGAGGCCAGCTACTAGATAAGGGAAGCTCGTCATAGTTTATCTGATGTCAAGCATCTTCATCATTGGTTAAACAATTAGAAACATAACATAAGATATGCATGACTAATATACACCTAGTAACTAGAGTTTACTCCTCTTCCCTTTTCTTTCACGAGCGGCGGTCATCACTCTATCCACTCTCTGTCTGGACGCTTATCCACAGCATCTGACCGGCCGTGGCCAGTGTAGAGATGGCCAAATATCCGCAGAGGTCAAAGGTGTGATTCACAAGCGGGGTTCCCGTGTTCAGGCTTTGATCATAGGTAGTTGAAATCCAGTTGTGATTTTCGGCCACTCGGATGCTGTGTGTGGCCGATGTGGCCAGCTCTCGTAGTCAAAGACTTCCGAGTTCGACAAGCCGAAGCCCGTCCAGAGGATAGTTAGTTTTTATGTGGGGATAGTGTGGCTTCCCTCCCCTGCTGCTCACGATGCTCCTGCTCGAGCTGCCGCTGTTGCAGTCGACGTGCCTTGCGACGTTCCCTTTAGTTGGGTCCGTCCATACGAGGACCCTTCTGCGGGCCTATGGGATGGCGACGAGCACGGATCGCAGGCGGCTACTTCCAGTAGCGAGGACCCTGGTCTAATTCAAATCCATGAGATTGAACCGTTGGTATGATCGGGATAATCCAACGCACTGTGCGATAAGAAGACCGCCATAAATACAGCAGTCCTCCAGGTTATGTCTATATTTGAGACACGCCGGGCAATCCTTTCTCTAATAGCAAAAGCCAAGAGTAAGTATATTCCTACGTGGAAGATGCCACACCAAGCACATACCTTTTTCACCTCGCCCGGACCCCTATCAGGTGGACACCGACCACCGTTGCCGCGATCGGGGCGTCTCCCACCAGAGCCAGAGGTGGCAATGGGGGGATGCATGGATGCTAAGAGACTCTGACCCGCCGTACTCATATCGATTAAGCGGGCTTGTTCAGCGATAATATCTTCAAGTTGTTCTCGGGGAAGCGGGGACATTCTCCGGTCCAGTCCGGCCGGTGCGGAGCTGCTACCTAAGGAATAGGAGCTATCCAGGGGGAACTACCCTCCGCAATGGCCTGGAGGCCACCTGCTGGAAGAACAGTAAAACTTCAGTCAGCAATGCTACCACCACTGGCGAGACTCGGCAATTGCCCAATAGTAACGTACATGTCTGCGGAACTATCCCATGTCCCGTTCTTGCCGAGACGATAGCAGCATCTACTTGAGCTGGCTATAGCTGATGGCATCACAGTAAGGAGAGTAAGCAAAGTTTTAAAATGTAGAAAGAGGGAGTTTGAGATGATTCAAGCTTCGTTTGATGCGTAATGAAGCTGTCGTGGAGAAATTGAGAGGTAGGAGATTGGTCTATTATGCTTCGTGCTAGTTTGCCCCTCTGGTATAATCGTTGAATATTTGTGAGATATTTACTAGCAGCTTGCTAGGAAAGTTAATTATTCTGCTCCATGTGAATAGAATAGATTGAAGGTTCCCTACGGCTACGTCTCAAGCCTTCTTTTAGAAAGCTGGGGTGAATGTCTATTGCCATTATATCCATGAAGATACCATCATAAAATGAGAATGGCCCATTAAATAGCGACTGTATTGGATACTCATATGCTAAGGACACCGATCAGGATATGGCTCATGTAGCTGTTGGCACAGTATGCCATTATTATCGTGTGTACATGTCCTCGCGGCATGTACGGTATAGTGGTGTAATCTGCTGGTTAGGTCGTAGTTTGTCCGCGGGCTATTCATTTCAATGGAGTAGAAGGATATTCTCCATGTGTAAATGTGTTGATACGAACTTGATAGGGCCACGCCTTTCCTACGGAGAATGGAGATCAAACATCAATTCGCCTGGAGGTTGGGTGCACCTTTATCCCTAAGACCAGCAGCTGGGAAATACCAATCAATTTTTTCTTTGCAGAGTCTTGATCTCTGTCCTTTTTGTTTTAGTACTCAGGCCTTCGCTGTCAGATCTACTAAGGCAGATCTCAACCAACCTGGGCAGATCACCGAGTTCAGATCATGCAGCAGGATTCAAGGCACCCCACTTCGAGACAATTTGTCGCGTTGATTTCCTCGGAGGAGCACCATCGATATCTTTCATCTGTCCTCGATGAAAACGGTTCGAGGAAAAGTGTGTACCATGAAATGACAATAATGGCTTCCTTTGCTATGAGTAATGTACGTATATCACCATTTACATTGCCTTCCCACTTTAAACATTCCACAGCCTTCCAAACGGAACATTCGACAATATGTATACGATATGTTATCATCTCCGTCTCCTATCAACGTCCGCTACGCTCGTTCGATGGAAGACCAAGCACGACCTATTGTGACACATCATGAGATCCGGAATTCTCGTGATCTATGCCCTCATCGAGTCAGCGGCTGCAAAGTACTGGAAATCAGCGAGTCAACAATCTTGAAAGTGGGCCTTACAGTCACAATGGGAGAAGCCGAGGCTATGATCCTCGTCAGGAACTCAACATCTGTCCCTGTTCCAGAAGTGCTCAATGCTTATATGATTGAAGATATTGGATTTATCTTAATGAGCAAGATATCCGGTGTTACTCTTCAGACTTGCTGGGAAAGTCTTTCCGAAGATTCCCAGAAATCCATCCTAGATCAACTTCGAGGCTATGTACATGAATGGCGCAGCATTGAAGGCAAGTTCTTTGGGTCTATAGACCAAGGGCCTTGTCAAGATACCGTCTTCATGCATCCATGGGGAAATCGGAATTATCAATATGGGCCGTTCCAAACACGAAAGGAATTCAACCAAGGTGTCATTGAAGCGCTTAAGAATGCAAGACCTGGTGGGCAGCTGGTCGATGAAGATGACTACCGCCTAGCAGACGAGATACTTGCATCAGGGGAGAATGGGCAAGACGAGAGGAAAATCTTGACTCATGGTGACCTACACCCCACTAATATCATCATCAACGATGGTAAGCTGGCCGGGATTATTGACTGGGGAGCAGCTGGATACAGTATTGCATCAAGGGAATACTTTGGTCTGGTTTGGATGGCACTGGATTCATCATGGAGAAAATCAGCATCTACCATTCTGCCCTCTGATGAGTATGAGTTTTGGGCTAAGGTGAATTATTCCATGACTCAATACACAGGCATCTAAGCGTACATAGTTCTGCATGGATGTCATTTTTCAAAGGCAATCCAATGATTTCAATAATCTATTGCGAGCTCCTATGTTGTTATTAGACACCGAGACTATACTATCCAATTCATCTATCTAATCATATCGAAATTTTTACAGGGTAAAGGAGAGAAGCAAATCCGTTAGCCGGGATAGATAAGTACAACCCATTCTCACTGGGTCGGAGGCCAATTCTGAGTCTCAGCCTGAGCCTGAGCCTGAATCTGTCGAAGCAGAGTCGCCGGAACCGGTTCATGCTCCCACCACTGCTGCTTGAAGTATGCCTCGTCAAACCGCGATTCAACAGCTGGACGTGTCCTTCGTCTTCCGGCAAACGGCACATCGCCATACATATCATAAAAACAGCCCTGAATACTCATGTCTTCCGCGAAGGAAAGGTATCCCAACTTCTCCGCGCAGTCGCGACTATCCGTCTCTCTACCCCGCCAGCAGAACTTCAGCCGCTTGTCCTTCTGGAAGCGTATTGGGGACTCCTGGAAGAGCATGATGCCGCGGTAGACGCCCATGGCAAACATGCCCCAGACGCAGCTTTCCCTGCGATCGACGAGAAGGCGCATCCTGAGTTTGTTGGCTTTGCGCGACCAGTTGTGTTTCATGGTGTGACTGGAGATCTCGTAGCTGCCACAGACGACCTCGAGGAACTTGTCCTGGTCGTGACGGGCCCAAGAGCGCTGCATGGCGAAGGAGGTTGCGTGGAGTCGACCGATGATGCTGGGAGGCGGTTGAGACTGCTGAGTGGGTTCCTCAGGCGGCGGGGAAGTGTGCGGTGTCTCAGCCGGTTGGCGGACAGGAGAGGAAGGATGCACTTCAGTTGTAACCTCGTCTTGGTCTTGGTCTTCCTCCTCCAGGACCTGTTCGCAGTCCATCTGCATGGTCTCGTCATTCACGATCTGCGACTCTGGCTCAGGAGAAAGCTCAAGCAGAACCAGGCGCTGCGACTCCGGCTCCTTCGTTCTATCATGCTGAAGATAATTCCAGTCCGCGACGAACGTCTCAACAGGCCACGGAACCATGGGCGGTCCTAACTCCCGCACGGCCTTGAAGTCGCACTTGTCGTCGGGAAAATCCGCGACGGCCATTCCTTTGAAGCAGCCGGACACAGGACCCTTCCCACCCACGGTGATTTCTCCGATTGTGATACCCTCGTTGTCGTACGCGACCTCGGGCTCGTTCTCACAGACGCCTCGCCAGGCAAAGGAGTACGATGTCTTGCTGTTATCCCGCGGCCCAGGATCGATGAGCATCAGGCCCTTCCACACGCCAATGTCGAAGCAGCCCCAGAGACGGTCGTAATCCCAGATTAGCGTCATCCGACATTCCTGGTGGGGAAGTTCGCTGATCTCGAGCCGGTACGTTCCTTGGAAGAGTTGCATCGCAATGACGTCTGCTTCCGAGATCGACAGGTTGCACAGGTGGTCGTTGTGCTTGAAGGGGATTGGAGCGGGAGGGATTCGCCGGTTGGGATTTGCATGAGGACCATTGAGGGGGGTGATGGTCGTGAGACGATGGAACATGTCCGGCGAAAACTCCTCATCGGTGAGAGAGTTGCTCTGGTTCGGCTGCTGGAGCTCCATGATCTGCGCAAGACCAAGTTGGCTATCCTCGCCAGTCTGAGTGGCTTCAGATAACCTCTTCTTCTTCTTGTTCTTCTTCTTCTTCCGGCGTGGTTCTTGGGTCTCGGGGAATTGGCGCTCTAGATCTGCTGCTTCGCCTTCCCCATGCAGCTCGTGGAGCACAGAGATCTCGTGAGAGTCAACGGCGTCGGACATGAGCTCAACCTTTCTCTTGTTCATGGTGAAAGGAAATTAATGAACGAGGGAATGAGATAATGAGTGACAATGTGGAAAAGAGTGAACGAATGAAAGTGAAAAGGAGTGACGACGATGAAGACGGACAAGACGAAATGAACCTTTACTCTGTGCAGAAAATATCTGCTTTTATACTGAAACTACTTACAGTCATTCATGGACCTCCCTGAAGATTGCCCTCAGTTTGAATGCATGCTCCAGAATTTCAAGCCAAATGGCAATTGATGTATCACATCTGTCATGATTAACACCCACCACATGTGGAACTGCGATGGGCACATTCCGCTAGGCCTTGTACGGACTTTTGACAACCTGCTAAAGACAGGTAGTTGTGATACGTGATGAGGCTGCTGGGAAAGGAAGAACTGACGAACCTAGAGTCCTTAGATAGTAAATGCCTATCTACAAGAAGAACAGCAGATAGCGTGGCATAACTGCATGATGGTTTCTCATCGGGGTCTGTCGCTCTGGAAACCATAGTCGAGCTATACAGAATCAAGCCTAACTCTTTAATGAAGAATTGCGAGATAATATGACCCTGGATGTCGCTTGCGAACTTGTGAGTAGAAAGAAAAATAGTACCATCCGGATACAAATAATGAGAGGATCACAAGCAGGGATCATTGCACTTGAAAATCGCTAGTAAAGGAGAAAAGCTTCCAAGTGTCTTTTTCGTCGTCTTGACAGGGTATGCTGGGTGAAGCAAAAAAGCAACGTGCGGGTATGAGACACGGGGGAAGAGAATATGACAGGTGGAGTGAGTGGCATCCCTGGCTGCAGCTGAACTTCTCAAGTACAATAGTTGTGAAAATAGAGTCGTGAAAGAAAATATTTCATGTATTTAATCATCATTGGAAGCCACCTTATCAAACAAGCCTCCATCTCAATAGTTCTGGCGAATGTAGATCTGGCTTAGGAAACCCACGTCGTACTCCAGAAATATCATTTTTCCTGTCCGCATCTGCATGGAAAAGCTACAGGCTACATCCTGTAACGGGCACTTTCAGGAACGTGGCTTGATAATAAAGCGTACCTATCAACTAGATCTACTACGCATCGCGTCTTCTCAGCGGTTACCACGGCACCTCCTTGCCATCATACTGATTCAATCCCTTATTCTCCTCCCATCCCGGCACATGGATATTCAGAGCCTTTCCGTTCTGAGACGGAGTTGCCTTCTGCACGATATCGATGACTGCCTTTGCCCCGGTCGCAGGGGGAAGATCGGCTCTCGACCCGCCCGCATCTGTCTGGAGCCACTGTATTCCGTAGGGATCAGCATCTCCCTCGACTCAGGGACAAAAGGATGGTAAATAAAGAGCAAGACACTTACACCAGGACTCACAGCGAGAAAGGTGAATCCCTCGCTTTCGTAATCCTGCGCATACTGTACCGTCAACATGTTCAATGCTGCTTTGGTGATTTTGTAAGCGGGTGATGGCGAGAGTTTGTAAACCGGCGCGAGGGTCATTGAGCCAAGCGTTGTCGATCTATCGAATATTAGACATGATTAGAGGCAAGAGAGTAATGCGTAGACGCACATATTAACAACGAGTTTCCTCTGTCCCTCGCGGAGCAGAGGGAGAAATGCCCGGGTGACATTATGGACTCCGGTGACGTTTGTATGGAACACTTCGGTCAGGTCATCCCTGCCATTAAGTCAGAACTGGCTCGATAGTCTCTGTAAAGCTGGAGGACATGCATATTCTCGATTCCACCCTTTGCATATGTTATCACGCCCGCATTATTGATGAGGACATCCAGCCCTTTTCCTTGTAGTTTACTCTGCACTGTCCTGGCTGCATCCTGGATGCTTGCTGCGTCGTTAACGTCGCATTTGACCCACTGGATGCGGTCGGATTGTTGGCTGAGTTCCTGGAGGCTTGGGTGTTCTGAGCGGGATGTTGCGAAGATGGTTCCTACGGAGGAACTGGGGAGGCTGGCGAGGTGGCGCACCAGGGCGAGGCCCAGGCCGCGGGAGGTGCCAGTTATGAGGTATGTTGACATTTCTTAAGAGTAGATGATGATTTTGAGGATCGATGGATGCTGTTGGAGTTTATACTGAAGATGATAACTTATAATAATAATAATAGTTAATCATGATGAAGGATTATTAATATTCATAATATTCGAACATTCCACTACTCCATGGAAAACGGAATTTACGGAGATAGCAGTTAGAAGTCCTATTGACTCCGGGCGGAATGAAAGTAATTACAAAGCATGATCAGACCATAATCATGCATGATTCTCGTGACATACATCAATCTCAACATCAGATTTCAGCCTTGGGTTGTTCGGTAGAACAATCCCTAACCTCTCTATCATCCTGGCGAGACTTCTCCCTAACCATCATAAACACAATCCACGACGCCCATATCACCAATGCGATTGAACACCCAATCATCGCCCACATTCCTCGCGTGAACCGTGGCGCCAGGTTCGCCGAGTAGAATATGATACTCCACCACGCATTGACCGCATTATTCCCCATATTCATGCTCGCAAGCACCACAGACCGATGCCGCGCATCCTGCGATCGCATGGCATCGTTACACCATGCAAAGAACGTAGCTTGGCATGCATACACGGCACCGGCCCAGTAATACGCCCCGAACACGGTCGCGGTTGAGTCGAACCTCGTCAGAATGAGGACGGAGGTCACGACCCCGGTAATGCCAATGAAATAGGCAACCAAGTAGCGTTTACCGTGCAGGATGTCTGTCAATGTAGCCCAGAAGAGGGTGGAGACGATCCCAACGGCCGGAACGCCTGTTGGATAGTTGTTCAGCTGCGCGACAGAGTATTTGATCGTCGGATGAGATTTCATGTACAGCGCCAAAAGTGAGTTCGATGAGAAGGACTCGGTCTCGCCGGCGATCACCCAGAGGATGACAAACGCCCACCAGTACCACGTGGTGAACAAGCGTTTGATAAAAGCCCGATTCAAGGGGGCACGCTCAGCATTGGTCACAGGCAATCTGGAGACGGCCAAGGCACGTTCCGACTCCGTCAGATATGGAGCGCGGGTGGTGAATGGTGTGTCAGGGAAGAGAAGAAGGCCATAGATGGCAATGGGGAGGGTGATCAGCCCATCAATCTATCACAATTAGCAGTGTCGCAATTTGGAAGAAGGAAAAACTTACAATAAATAGCCAACGCCATCCTGAAAGTCCTCTGACCCCATCCAGCGACGAATGAATGCCCGTCTGGATGAAACCGCCAAACATCGTCCCCGCCAGGCCAGAAGCCGTAAAAATGCCGCTACGTTTGCCCAGTTCCTCCTCCGTGTACCAGGATCCAAGGATATAGTGCGTCCCTACAAATGTGCTCGACTCGGCTAGACCAAGAAAAAAGCGGATTGCCATGATCCCCTGTGGACTGTGCACCGCGGCCGTAATCATCGTCAGCCCGCCCCACAGGAGGATCATGGCGGGGAAAAAGATGCGCGGGCGAAAGTACGTCAGAGCCAGGTTGCTGGGAACCTGGCCGAGGATGTAGCCCACGGTGAAAATGGTGTTGATGACATTGAGCTGGTTGCCATGGAAGGCGAGCTCTTCCTTCATGCCTGATACGTATGCATTACTAAGGTTTGAACGATCGAGATAGTTGAAGAAATAGGTGATACAGCAGAAAGTGAGGATGAAGAAATCAATCTTGAACCGGAGTTTGCTTTCCGCGTCGTGAAACGCAGGAACAAGCCGCATCATGCTGGATGGGATGCATGATGAGGAGAAGAGGATGGTCATCTCCCGCTGAGATGAGATACCTTACCCCTCTTGCTGCTCGGACTCGACAACAAACTTAAGGTGATCGGCCTCATTGCCGATAACAAAAAACGAGCTGTTTTGATTCGACAAAGTTTGTTCTTTGCCAAGGCGTGTCGCGTGACTTCTGCCTCCTTAATGCCTGAAGTTTAAGGTGTCTGCGGGGATCGCAGAAAAACATCGAAAACACTTGGTACAAATTATTTTTCTGGAGATTGTTAGAAGATTAGCGCTTAATGTTCCGTACTTATTGTTGCCAGATGCAATATCCTAGTCTTTTAAATGAGCTCACCCCTTGCTGAGACCATGATCGACCCGCCAATCACTACGACATTCACATGCCACCCAGGGGCCAAGATCTTGGCAGAGCAGAGCACTGCCACCCGCCCAGATAGAAATTTTGAACAAATCCTTCCTTGCTTCCATCCGAACTGCTTCAATTAAACAACAGTATGGCTCTGAGGCTATTCTGCTTGCAAAGTTCAATGCGACGTCCAATGCTGTGCCCTCTTCCTCTATATTTGAACGATGGAGCTCTTCTCCGGCCTTAGACGGCTCCTGGGCCGGAGGATCCGCACAGGAAGCCGACGACTGCCAATCGAGCCGAAAAAGGGATTTGAGGGTCAACCTCCTCAATACACCGAGAAGTGGTACAGGCATGATTTCCTGGAAGATTATTCCGATACCGAAACAGCACAGTTCAGCTTCTTCACCACCAAACTGGACTCGGTGATTCATGCATCCAGCATCAACTCTTTGGCGTTGATCTATGGACCTCTCCACGCGCTACTTGATAGTGGAGAGCATGATGGCATTTGGTGGCTTGACATCACGGATCCCTCGGATGGAGACATTGAGCTTCTCTCGCGACTGTTTGACATCCATCCATTGACAACGGAGGATATCAAGATCCGCGAGACCCGGGAAAAGATCGAAATCTTTGGCCCGTATTATTTCCTCTCCCTGCGGCCGCCCCAGCAGGCGGAAGACGCTCCTGGTTCGCGGACGTCAGGATGCAATGTCTATGCTATTGTATTCCGAGAGGGGGTTCTCAGCTTCACCTTCGGCAGCAGTCCTCATACCAGTCATGTCCGAAGCCGGATCAAGGACCATCAAAGCCATCTGTTTTTGACAAGTGACTGGATATCTTACGCTTTGATGTATGGCACCTTCCTTGCTATATGTGACAATCCTGACTGACGAATGCAGCGACGATATCGTCGACGGCTTCGCTCCGCTCATCAACCGAGTAGAAGCTGGAGTGGAGACGATGGAAGACAGCATCTCCATCACCCGACCAGATGACATTGGACTTGCACTGAAGCAGATCTATACTTCGCGCAGACAGGTCCTCCAGATCCGGCAACTCCTCAACGACAAAACCGACGTCCTCCGGTGTTTTGCTCGGCACTGCGACGCACTGGGTTCCACGAGCGAAGTGGTCTCCTACCTCAGTGATATCCAGGACCACGTCTTGACCATGGTCTCCAACCTGGCACACTCGGAGCAGAGGCTGTCCCGGTCGCAGGATAAGTACTTGAGTCAGCTGTCGTTTGACTCGTCCCGGATGCGCAATCAGATCGTGGCTTCGCTCAGCCGGCTGACAGTGATTGCGGCCTGTATCGTGCCTATGCAGGTCATTACTGGTCTGTTCGGGATGAATGTCATGGTACCAGGCAAGCATAGCGAGGGGCTAGGTTGGTGGTTCGGGATTTTGGGTGTTATTCTCGCGTTGATCGGTTTGTCTTTGGAGATTGCGCGACGAAGTCGGTTTCTTTGAAGTTTACTCTTTTCGCCATCCTAGCCCAGGTGAATAGCAAGAGCATCGAAGATAAGCCTTAGATACTCTTGGTCTGACCCACTTCGTCGAACGATTCAACTTGTCAGCACAGCCGGATTTATCGGAATTAGTGGTAATCGGCCGTTATCCCCTCGGAGAACGATCAATATATTTCGTATAAAAACTGCTCTACTCCTGTACTTGAGGTCCCATATTATCACAAGAATCCATCAATATCTCCCATATTTCACTTAGCGGCGTAAGTCAGAAACAACCTGCCCCATGGACTTCGTCAGTACCCACCACCACGATACCTACCCCTTCATCGCCCAGTCCACGCACCACAACCACAAAGTCCTCATCACCGGCGCATCCCGCGGCATCGGCCTCGCCACCGCGCACTCCTTCGCGCGGGCCGGCGCCCCATCCATCGCCATCGCCTCCCGGGGGCCCCTAGACACCGTCGAGGCCGCCCTCCTATCGACCGCCAAAGACGCAGGCCACCCGCCACCAGCAATTCTCAAACTGACCCTCGACGTCGCGGACGAGGCCAGCGTTGCGGCGGCCGCGGAGGAAGTCGCTGCTCAATTCGGACACCTCGATATCCTGATCAACAATGCTGGGACGTCGGAGACGTGGGTTCCCATCGCGGAAAGCGACCCGGCGGACTGGTGGGGATGCTGGGAGGTGAATGTCAAGGGCGTGTACCTAGTCATGCGGGCATTCATCCCGCTGCTACGAAAGGGGACACAGAAGACGATTGTGAATGTGAGCTCTATCGGGGCGTTGCATGTGCTTCCGGGGGCGTCAGCGTATCAGACGGGGAAGTTTGCTGTGCTGCGGTTGACGGAGTTCGTGATGACCGAGTATGCGGGTGAGGGGATGCTGGCGTATGCGATTCACCCTGGTGCGGTGCCGACGGAGCTGGCGTTGGGGGTCAAGGCATTGCATGGGCTTCTGAAGGACACGGTGGAGCTTGCGGGGGATGCGATGAGTTGGTTGACGCAGGAGAGGAGGGAGTGGTTGGGTGGGAGGTACGTGAGTGTTACGTGGGATATGGAGGAGTTGCTGCAGAAGAGGGAAGAGATTGTCCGGGAGGATAAATTGAAGATGCGGCTGGTTGTGTAGGCTTAGCGCACATTGAAGAAGCGTCGAGTCAAGCTGATGGGAGAGGAGTTATGGGATCCTCTACAGACGGGCAGCCTGTGGTAGAGGAGAGACAGCGACGGGGAGTATCTCCCTGCTTCTTTTTACGGATACGGCGTGGCTAATTTCTTACTATCAAAAGAGACTCTGGCGGGGGGAGTGACTTGAGGCCGGAGAAGCCGACACTGCATTGAGCAGTAAGGAACCATTTATATGAGTCTATCGGGTATCAATGATTTACATCTCACAAACAAGGATCTATGACAGAATCTGCTAGAAGTGACGCCTGCAGGCTGTTTCCTTGCTACCGCTGT